AGGTCACATCCACACAGGTCACCTCCACACAGGTCGACTCTACACAGGTCACCTCCACACAGGTCGACTCTACACAGGTCACCTCCACACAGGTCGACTCTACACAGGTCGACTCTACACAGGTCACCTCCACACAGGTCACCTCCACACAGGTCACCTCCACACAGGTCACCTCCACACAGGTCGACTCTACACAGGTCACCTCCACACAGGTCAACTCTACACAGGTCACCTCTACACTGCATACCTCCACACAGGTCACCTCTACACAGGTCACCTCCACACAGGTCACCTCCACACAGGCCGACTCCACACAGGTCACCTCCACACAGGTCAACTCTACACAGGTCACCTCTACACAGGTCACCTCCACACAGGTCACCACCACACAGGTCACCTCCACACAGGTCGACTCTACACAGGTCACCTCCACACAGGTCACCTCCACACAGGTCGACTCTACACAGGTCACCTCTACACAGGTCGACTCTACACAGGTCACCTCTACACAGGTCACCTCCACACAGGTCGACTCTACACAGGTCACCTCTACACAGGTCGACTCTACACAGGTCACCTCTACACAGGTCACCTCCACACAGGTCGACTCTACACAGGTCACCTCTACACAGGTCACCTCCACACAGGTCAACTCTACACAGGTCACCTCCACACAGGTCGACTCTACACAGGTCACCTCTACACAGGTCAACTCTACACAGGTCACCTCTACACAGGTCAACTCCTCACAGGTCACCACACAGGTCACCTCCTCACAGGTCACCACACAGGTCACCTCTACACAGGTCGACTCTACACAGGTCGACTCTACACAGGTCACCTCCTCACAGGTCACCTCCTCACAGGTCACATCCACACAGGTCACCTCTACACAGGTCGACTCTACACAGGTCGACTCTACACAGGTCACCTCCTCACAGGTCACCTCTACACAGGTCAACTCCACACAGGTCGTGGATCAGTTAGACTTCTTATATGTGAATGTGTTGATATGGATACACACATAACATGAAGTGACCACTGAGAGTGAGATATTTGGTTTACTGTCGTCTGTCTCCAGTCTGGTCTTTTCAGGAACATGTAAACAGTATTTTAACACACACACACACACACACACACACACACACACCCTCCCCGTGTGTCCGTGTGACCCCCCCCCCGCTCGGCTGGAGAGCTCAGACCTGTCCTCTGAGCTTTGTGTCACAGACTGCAGCCCGCTCAGACGGTCTCTGTGTGACACTGAGGGGGGTGGGGGGGAGGAAAAGGCGAGGTCACATCACACGACTGCAGCGCCGCGGCCGAGTGTCAGCGTCCCAAAATAACGGCGAGAACAAGCAGACTGAAGACACCAAACAAACAACAGCTCTCAGATCGAGTAAACATCGCTAACACACGAGCCTGCACTCAGTGTGAAGCCTCGCTGTGTGTGTGTGTGTGTCTGTGTGTGTGTGTGTGTGTGTGTGTGTGTGTGTGTGTGTGTGTGTGTGTGTATGTGTGTGTGTGTATGTGTGTGTGTGTGTGTGTGTGGTCCATCAGAGCTGCACAGAGAGCGATCGGAGGGGACACCCGTCCTGTTAGAGGAAGCTGCGGCCGTCTCTCCTCTTCCGACCGTCCTCGCCAACACTCGGCCTTCATTGACAAGCTCCCTCTGTGCGCTGCTGCTGCTGCTGCTGCTGCTGCGGACGCACGGCGAGGACACGGGCTCGTCTGCAGCAGATGTCTCGTGGCGCCGACTATAAATAAAACCAATGAGACCAGCCGGCCGCTGACGAGCACAAGCCGCCGCGAGGCCGCGTTAGCTCTGCAAAGGGGGGCCTGTCGAGAGCTGGCACGGCGGGCGGGTTTCTGCTCCGAGCCTGTGATGTCTGAGAGCTTTGTGCTCGCGGTTTCAGAGGTAACCTTTCAAACCGTCCTGCAGCCCCGAGAGCTCAGCTGCACCGAACACCCAAAACTGAGACGACCCAAATATAAAGACAGAAATGAGAAATAAACGCTAAAAAGTAATAAAGAGGCGTTTGAAGAGAGGCTGTCCAGTTCTTAAAAACATTCCTTCAGACTCATCCACAGCGAGGAGGTCTGACAGGACGACACCCGCTGCAGAGGATTCATAAAGTACCTGTCTTCACACGGGCTTCAAATTCAGGTCTCATTCAGAGATCCACTCTGAGGGGTTTTTGTGTTTGATCTCTGTCCCTGTTCACATCTCTATACACCTGGCTGTCTCTATACACCTGTCTGTCTCTATACACCTGTCTCTATACACCTGTCTGTCTCTATACACCTGTCTGTCTCTATACACCTGTCTCTATACACCTGTCTCACAGCAGAATGTTAGTATACCTGTTCAGAACTTATGAAGATGTAATTCAGAGATAGTTTTAGCAGATTTCATCCTCAGTCGGTTCTTAGTTAAATTTAAACTCTGGAAACATCGAGGACTTACAGTCTCTGTACACACACACACACACACACACACACACACACACACACACACACACACACACACACACACCACACACACACACACACACACACCACCTCCTGCTTTCATAAGAAACATTCAGTGTGTGAAGAGGAGGAGCACTTTAATTTCATGTGCCATTACACGCAGACTGAACGCACAATTACAGCGCCGCACATTCCTCTCAGTTAACTCTGACAGAAAAATGAGGACGAGAATCAAAGACAAAGACTGTGGAGAACGAGGACGATGACAGATAGTGTCAGAGAATCAGAGAGGAGGAGGAGGAGGAGGAGGAAGAGGAGGAGGAGAGGAGAGGAGAGGAGAGGAGAAGAGAAGAGGAAGAGGAGGAGGAGAGAGAAGGAGGAGGAGAGAGGAGGAGGAGGAGGAGGAAGAGGAGGAGGAGGAGGAGAGGAGAGGAGAGGAGAAGAGAAGAGGAAGAGGAGAGGAGAGAGAAGGAGGAGGAGAGAGGAGGAGGAGGAGGAGAGGAGAGAGGAGGAGGAGGAGAGAGGAGGAGGAGAGAGGAGAGAGGAGGAGGAGGAAGAGGAGAGAGGAGGAGAGAGGAGGAGAGGAGGAGAGAGGAGGAGGAGGAGGAGGAGGAGAGAGGAGGAGGAGAGAGGAGGAGGAGAGAGGAGGAGGAGGAGAGAGGAGGAGGAGGAGGAGAGAGAGGAAGAGGAGAGAGGAAGAGGAGAGGAGGAGGAGGAGGAGGAGAGAGGAGGAGGAGGAGGATAGAGGAGGAGGAGGAGAGAGGAAGAGGAGAGGAGGAGGAGGAGGAGGAAGAGGAGGAGGAGGAGGAGAGGAGAGGAGAGGAGAAGAGAAGAGGAAGAGGAGGAGGAGAGAGAAGGAGGAGGAGAGAGGAGGAGGAGAGGAGGAGAGGAGAGAGAGGAGGAGGAGAGGAGGAGGAGGAGAGAGGAAGAGGAGAGAGGAGGAGGAGGAGGAGAGAGGAGGAGGAGAGAGGAGGAGGAGGAGAGAGGAGGAGGAGGAGAGGAGGAAGAGGAGAGAGGAAGAGGAGAGTCTTCATCATGAGTCCTCAGGCTTCAGTAGAGTGTCTTGGGTCTGATTGGATCTGATTCAGAGTTTTTGAGCTCATGATGTTTTCAGACGGTCTTTACATTCTGGGGGCGGAGTTACTGATGACATGTGATTGGTCAGGAGTGAAGTTGATTCAGAGCTGCAAGCAGGAGTTCTGTTTTAAACCCAAACTATTAACAAATGATCTGTTTGACATTAATTGTAATTCTGAATATTATCACTGTAAAACTTCAAAATAAAAGCCCATTTAAAGGCCCAGCAGTCCCTTTAACCCGCCTCGTGATGCTGCACCTCTTAACTAGAGGACCCTCTGCCTCACATAATAAATACAAAAATCTGCATGACAATAAAAACAAAGATGAAAGACAGAATGATGCTGCTGTGTGTGTGCAGGCCGTGATGCCTCATTTCTTTATATGTGACTTTGAGCACAGGGAAACATTCTTCCTGGTATAAATGTTTCAGAGTCTCTCCTTTGCTGTCATTGAGTTCTGTTTGAAAACACTTGAAGGTCGTCTCATACAGACGCCTCTCCTAAATAAAGTCTGGCTCATTTTGCAGACTGAAGGAAGAAAGAGCCCGGGCCGTTAATAGACATTTTAGTGTAAACACACTCAGCTTTCAGCTTCCTGCTTAAGTCTCTTTGTATTTCATCCCTTCACACTTTAAACTAAATCAGTGAAAGCCTCTGAGCTTCAGCGTGTGACTCTCGTCCTCGCTGAAGCTACTATCTCGAGTTAGCGTCTGAACTTGGCAGCTGACACTTTGTGCTGAGAGGTGTATTAGACGTGATAATGAAGAGCACACTTCCAGTCGCCAACGAGGCAATTAAAGGCGGGAATAAACACGAGAGGGAGGGAGGGGTGTTACTCCCTCCTCAGGGAATCCTCCAACATCTCTCACACCTGAGAGGACGCTCGCTCTGACGACCATCTCTGATGACAGCGAGCAACAGGCCAGCAGAGCAGTATGTAACTCTGACCCCTAGTGTTTAAAATGGGTACTGCAGTCTAAATTCTAAACATCATAGAGAGCTGTCTCCCCCCCCCCTCCTCTCTAGAGTAGATGCTCACACAGGTCACCATGTGGTGGACTCTGAAGCTTCAGTGTTTATCCAGCTCTGCATGGGTCTGTAAACCTTTCTGTGTTCTAACCTCTCTCCATTTTTCAAAAGCATCTCCAATATTGATCCTAGTTTGAGCACGTTTCTGCTCGTGGAGCTTATTAGAAACATGCAGAGGCTTTTTAGGTCAGGTACAATCACTTCTATCTGAACCACTTCTCTTGCCAGAAGTCGATCTCTTAATTGTTTTCTCACTCACTGTTGTAAGAAGAGGAGAGAGAAGAATCTCCTGCAGTCATCACAGCGTCTGCCCCCCCTGGTGGTGGAGAGAGGAAGGGCCAAATAAAGAGTTAAATAAATAAATTCAGTCGGTTAACGCGCCTCTTCCACCGGTTTACTGCTTTTTGTTGACAGACATAAACAAACTCTTTTTGTTCAGGCGGTCCTCGGGCACGCTGAGAGGGGTCCGTCGGTCATGACGTCACTGGTGATTTGGAAGATGTTAGCCGAAACTTAATAAGCACTACGTTGTTTCATGCTTAAAGCCTTTCAGTGTTAATAAATGCGCAGTTCGTTTAATAAGACAGGAAATGGGTCAAAGTGTTCATACACCAAATTAAAAGGTGAGTTTGTTTTCACATTATTTAGCTTTAAACTAAGCGGGTTAGCTAGCCTGTAAATTAGCCTGTTTAGACAGGAGCTGTGATTAGCCTCAGGTCACCAAACTCCGAAGAATAATCCTGATTATTGAAGATTTATGTGTTTATATGTATTTATTCACGTGATTACACTTCAGCCTGAACGAGTTTAAGTTCAGTTGGTTTATCGGCTCCAGTCGGCTCATCGTGACACATTAAAAAACACCGTTATGTCAACAAAATCACGACTTTACGACCGCTTAATACGGAGCTTACTGCCGGTGTTACGGCGGAAAGAGTGACCGTGTTAACTGGTGACTTCCTGCCGAATGTGTCTGTTTGTGGAAGTTTATGTAGACTAGATGTTTTAAACGTGAAGTTGTTTAGGTTTTCATCAAATGAATATCAGATTACTTAATTATGACTCTGTATTAAAAACTGTCGTAAAGACACGACTCGGCTAAAAGTCACCAGTTAACACGGTCACTCGTTACACCATAACACCTCCCTCTTCAGCACGGCATTTACTGTACATGTGAAGTTAAAACCTCTCCAACACACCTGTCTTTTGAAATGTCTTTTTTAAAGCTTGCGTGCTTTGTCGATACTGTTGGTCGTTAAATGAACAGACTTTAATGAACAGTCTCAGTGAAACATTGTGACGTGTCTTTCTGTCCTCAGCGTCAGGTGTGACGAAAGCGCCCACCTGTGGTCCAGCCATGCCTCAGAAAGCGCCAAAGAGCGCTCAGACGTCCCACTACATCGAGCTGGGAGGGTATCAGTACTGGCCCGTCCTGGTTCCTCGAGGAATCCGTCTGTACACGTACGAACAGATCCCCGTGTTCCTGAGGGAGAACCCGTACATCACAGACGGATACAGAGCGTACCTGCCCTCCAGACTCTGCATCAAGAGGTGAGACAAACTTCAAGAGGATGAAGTGTCTCTCTGTGTTTACGTTCTTAATAAAGCAGGACGTGTCGATCGCTGCTCCTCGCCTTCAGGACACGAGCTGTAGATCGATCTCTCCTTGGATCTCGTCTTGGATGGACGCCTGGACGCCATGTTCACTGATTCAGGGTTCTTTTTGTCTCGCCTCTGCAGCATCTTCATGCTGTCCAATGAGACGGGGAATATCTGGAGCCATCTGTTGGGCTTCCTGCTCTTCTTCTTTATCGGGGTCTACAACATGTCGTCGGTGCTGCCCGCCTTCGGCGCCTCCAGAGAGGACTACGTCATCTACTCCATCGCTCTCTTCTGCTTCCAGGTACAGGGCCCAAGTGTTTCAGGTTAATTCAGACCAAGCAGCTGCTGAAGGGGGATCTTCAACCTTGAAATTCAGGGTCTTCAACCTTCATTTTTTCACAATAAAGTTTCAATCACTTCACATACAACCTTTCAGTTCTGTTTAAAATATGTTTTAACCGGAACCGGATCTTGCTCCTTTCACAACTGTAGAAAACCGGAGTAGGGGAACAACTGATTTTTGGAACATTTAGAGACTTCAGAGTTGTTTGAACTTTTCCTCATGCTGCTAAATACTTCACTCCTCCTTATCTTATCTGGAGTTTTACAGAAGCTTTAAAAAAAAAAATGTATTTGATCAGACAGACGTGTGTGGGAGAGATTGAATCCATCACAAATTACAGACAAATATCGGTTAATTAAGTGCCAATATAGGACTTTATTTCTTGTTGATGTGGTATCAAACAGGTATCATTGTTCGATAAAGTTTGAAAATTCTGTTGTCATGACGACCTTCTTGCAGAACGTTTGATTTCTTTAGCCGCAGTGACAGATTTGTGCTTCAAACATGAAAACGTGTTTAAACATGAACCCTGTTTTGCGGCACATTTTCAGATCAAACTCTAACAATCTGTTACTCGGTGAATAAAGAACCAGATCGGATGAATTCAGAGAGATATTTTTTCTGGTTGTTCTTT